ATTATTATTATTATTACTATTATTATTATTATTATTATTATTATTATGTTTATTTAATAATGATTATTTTAAAGGAAAAATAAACCTACCAAAAGAATTGACTCCAACTAAATGTGTACTGGAATGTAAGTTTTGAGGTTGTACTGCTTTTGGAAAACGAATTCTACACCATTCGGGTGTAGCAGCTGATAGTGAAGTCATCGATACACTAAATTATAACTGATTATTATTACTATTATTGCAATCAAATAAACAGAAAACACAATAATAAAACAATACAACAGACCAGCCGGGGTGTTGGTATTGCTGTGTGTTTGAGGTTTGGGCGTAGAGTTTTGTGATCTGCTCGATTTGCTGCAGACGTTTTTGGTCGCGTAGTTCAATTAGATTCTTCTCGTGTGTGCCGCCGCCTCCGCCGCAACTCTTGCGCCGTTTCAACTCCTCTTCATAAGTTTGCCTTCAAACATCATCATTCTTATCACATAACTCAATCTCACCTGACCTGTGTGTATGTGTGTAAAATATTCTCTTATAAAAGAAATATAGAAAAATCACAATTATAACCTGCTCAATTCAATAGCACGCTTCAAATCCTCATCAGTATCAATTGAATTACTATCATCGATAGCATTATTATTATTATTATTATCGCTTTCATTAATATTATTGTAATTAATATTTGAAGAAGACATCCCGCTTTCTTTAAACCAACAATATCATTCAATCAATTCAATATATCCATTTATAACCATTATCATTCACACTTCTATCATTAATACCACTACCAGACTATCTCAATTCGCTGCCGCCTGTAAACTCAAAATAAATTCAATAATTAACTAAATAACATAACAAAACTTCACCAATTTCTAAAAATCGCTCGCTGTGGCCATAAGAAAAAACGAATAAACAATCAGTTGGCACGCTGCCGACTGATTGCGTTCAAAATTTGTCGTCTCGACACGAACTCTAGGATTACCGCGAATTTCAAACAGCGTGCAACCCAGTTTCCTCCCTACACGCCTGAAAACTGGTTGACCGCTTCGGTGGAATGGCTTCAACTGCTCGAAGAGGATTGCCAAGCGATAATCGATACATAATAATCAATGATAACAATTATAAATAATAATAATAAATAGCACTACTAAATAATAACAATAACACTAGCAATAATAACAATAAATAATATTTCGATCAAGCAGAGCTTCAGTCCAACGAAACTGTGCAATTGATTCCTTAATGAACAACTTGTCAGCGAGTTTTCGCTAAGACAATTTTTATCACTTCATCATCACATATCAATAACTATAACAATAAGCAATTGCGCGCATTATAAAACACCAAAAATAAATTTCATCATTATGCATTATTATTATGCATTATCATTATGCATTATTATTATTATGCAGCATATAATACTGCTCCGATTGCTATCCACTCCGTTAAAAGTGCTATATTCAAAGAATTTGATAGACCCGAAAGGTGGGATTAATGAAGACAAGTTTAAACGATTGACGACGCATCGTTTCCAGAGACGCATCCCGTATGCTCACACAAAAGCGCGCCTCTCCAGGCACATTCAGTTCGGATGCTGCAACATCTAAATTTACTCATGCTGTTGATGTTATAATAATAATAATAATAATAATAATAATAATAAAAACACAAATAACAATAATACAGAACAGACCGTAAAGTGAGTTGAGTGTATGATGAGTGGAATCGATCAAGTGTCCATTACTCAAATCGACGATATCATTCGTGGAACATCCATTCGAGTCGGCAAAGCAGATGCTCTCCTCGATTACTATATAATCCACCGATTCATCCACCAATATTCCATGCACCTCTTCCACTGATTTCCTTCCATAAATCTAATCTTATTAAAATAACAACACAAATCATAACAATACAGAAACAAACCTGATAAACGCGCTGTGTTCTATTCCGAATCCAGGCGTCCTCGAAATGCGGGTGATTGATCAAATATCTATTTGTACAAGCCTTCACTCCAGCCATCAACTGCATACTACCGGCCCATGACGAGTGCGTTGGCGTTGATTTTATTATCCATTCCATTAAATCCACTGTATCTGGATCATAGAATTCCTGTTTGATCCATTATTATTATTATTATTATTATTATTATTATTATTATCATTATGAACATTATTAACAATACTAACCCGTTCATCACTCATCTGTTCCTTGTACACATCGTAATGTCGATACAGAAGCGCCAATGCAATTGCAACTGCCAAAATTTTACCGCATTTTGGTGTTAGCCAATGTGACGTGCTCAAATTAAATTCATATTAATAAACAATATAAAAGCAATAAAACAAAAGCAATAAAAACACACTTAAAAAGTGTCCAAACTGCAACGACGATCATCTGCGGATACCAGACATATTTCATGCGTAATGCAAATATCGCTATAATTGCTAGTTGAACTGACTGCACGCCCAAGTAAATTACTGGTGCTGTTAAAATTGTATCACTCGTAATTATATCTGAAACATTACCTTCACTTATTCATTATAACAATAATAATAATTATTATAATAATAATAACAATAACGATAATAACCATTGGCCACTTACCGCTGTCCGAATGGCGTTCTTGCTCCATAAATACACAATAAATAATAGACACAATAATAATGCTCATCGACATCAAATACAATAATAAACAACCATTCTGCGCGCTTCTCACAAAGAATGACCATTCAATAAATTTAAAAGCACCATGACACAGATACAGTGCTGTCTCGAATGGCACTGGAGACAACCTGAAATTACAACCTGAAATTGTTTGCTCACAAAAATTTTGAAAAGAAAAATTTAATCCATTCAATACAATCTCTAAACTGTGCACCTCAGAAACTCTACTATGACAACCATGTTGACAATATGACAATAATTAGGCGTGGAAATAAGAATAAAGTTAGTCGATTCAGAACGCAATTCAGAGTCGATTCACTATCAAACAAGCTGCCTTTATCCAGGCTCACTCTCTTTCAGATGTAAACCCTTTTAGTGAACCAAACAACATCACATCAATAATTCCGAATGCACCTCGTCAACTATTTACACCCAACCACCCAACCCACCACCAATCACCACAAAACACAACCAACCAACCAACCACAAAACAAACAACCAACCAACCAACCAACCAACCACAAAACAACCAACCAACCAACCAACCAACCAACCACACGAACCAACCAACCAAGCAAGCAAGCAACCACACGAACCGAGAACAACATCAACACTGATTTGTTTTCATTGAGTGCGTGTTCATATAAGGCACGCAACGCGTATAAAAAGTACTAAGTGATTTGATCTCTCTTCGATCAAAACAATGTCGTCATTCAATTTGATCTCTAACATTGATCATCGTATCAATTTGATCATAACACTAACACCTTATAAACTACATTAAGTGCAGTCTGTCACATTGTTCAACATATTATCGATTAATTTTCTCTCAGCTCAGAGAGCAATCATAAATATACATTAATAATAATAATAATACCACTGAATATAATGAAAACAACAAAATTAATAATAATTAAAATAATAACTCGCTCACTTATCATGCATGCCAAGCTTTGCCT